TCAGATGCCAACAGGAAAAAGAAAAGCTAGTGACTGAAGGGATGGCTTGGGGAAGCGTTCCAAGCTCTAGAAAGGCAATACAGCATGAATCATTCTTAAGTCTTTGTGCAGTGGGGTTGGACTGCTAAAGTGGATCAGGCACTGATAGCAGAGAACCATCAGTTTTTGTTATTGTTATGGTGGTGGTGGTTTTCAATTGGTAAGATCTAGGCAGAAAAAAAAAATAACATGGAAAGCTGCCTCCCAGATTGATTTAATTCACATTGCTTGTATTTGTGCTATCAGACCTATACTGGTATTTCTGGAGAAGGCCATATTTTCTTTTTTCTTTTTTTTTTAATTTCGTTTTATGACACAGTTTCATAGGCTGTGGGATTCCCCCAACCTCTCCCCATACCCTCCCCACATGTTGGATTCCTCCACATTTTTGCAGTAATACAGTTCATATCCAGTCATGATTCATTCATTGCGAGCATGTACCATGCATAGAGTCCAGCGTCTTATTGTCCAGCTAAATTCAACAGTTTCATTAGGAGACCATCCCTGGTCTGAAAGCAGTGCTGGCATAATGTCGTCTGAGAGGGCCATATTTTCAACAGCCTACAGCAGAACATTTGGCACTTGGCACCTTAAGAGGTGACACATCTAAGAACATGAGCATGAATCCTCATCTCTGAATTTTAAGCTCTGCTGCCTTGGGTAGGACATGCTCCTTGCTGAACCTCATTTACTGTAAGAAGTATAAAATGTCTGTGTCTGTTGTGAAGATTAAGTGAGATCATTGCTGTAGAATACCTGATGCTCAGTAAGTGCTACACGAGGAATAGCACACTCTGAATGAGGCCCCGGAAATAGGGAAGTGTTCCCCGTCCTTTTCTTCTTTTAATATTCCAATAACAAACTGTGGAATTAATATGGCAGGCACAATGTTGGATGTTGAGAATATGTAAGCAAAAGAAAAAAAAAGACATGGATGAGGAAAACATAGACATTGAATGACTAATTATTTGAGCTTAGAGTATTAGGACAGAGTAGTAGGATGAGTCTTATAGAAGTAGCACACCGCTAGCCTTAGCGCTTTTTATTTATTTAACAGGCCAGATAGCAGAAGAAGAACAGAGAGGGAAATAAATCTTTTGTCTTCTAGTTGACTTTTCAAATGGTTATGATGGCCAGGGTTGGACCAGGCTTAAAAGTCCAGCTAAAAGTTCCAGCCAAAAGTCTGGAACTTCATCGTATTCTGCCACATGAGTGGAGGGGACCCAAGTATTTGGGCAACCTTCCACTTTGGGAGGCTGTTGGGACTCAAACCAGTGATCTGACATTAGATGCTAACCAAACAGATGGAGGCTTAGCTCACTGTACTACGGATCTGGCCAGAGTATGGTGCCTCCACAAAGCCTGGGAGTTTTCTCCCAGTTCACTCTGGCCTGGATTTTCAGATCCTTCCTACTTCTTTTGTTGCCTTGCACTTCCCTCACTCATGGATACTTTACCTCTTTGGTGTGAGAGGGAATGGGTAGATAAGAAGTAAAGAGGCAATAAGCATAAGTTATTATCAAGCTTCTGGGGGAAGATGAAGCTCTTTTCACGTCTCTTTCTCACTGTTCAGTGCCAAGCAACCCAATGATCAACAATAGGCCTCTTACACCTTTGTCGTCTAATTCTACATCTTATCACCTTGCGCAGGCATGTAGATTGTGCGCAGAGCCGCTTATGGCCTTCTTTCTTGTCACTTGGTGAAGTGTCCCCAGAGTCATCTCTAGTACAACCTAGATGATGCCAACTTGAGACTAACTTGTACTATTTTCTTTCCCTATGTCTCCCACACTATCAGAGAACTGTGAGGAAGGGCAGTGTGTAGATGTGAAGGCATTCTTGAGACATCTGGAGAACACTGTTCTCTGTGCTGTATGGGGAGATTCAGAAAACAGAACCTAAGCATTTAGCAATTGGGGATGACATAAGGCATCCCGTTCAAATCAACACATGTTTTTAGCAATCTTCTATTTACAAGGACCTATTCTAACAGTGAACAAAAGAGCTTTTAAATTCTCTCATTTTATCCAGACCTTTCCTTTTACAGAAGAGGAAAATGAAGCCCAGTAACAGAAAGGGGGTGATGTAAGTTATCCTAGGCAAGATTACCCGGCAAGTGGTGGCCAGATTGCTGGTGCCAAGTCTCTGGTACTGGGCGGGTGGCTCAGGGGGTGCTTATCATGCAAGCTCTGGCAGTGTGATTACTGTTGACTAAGTGATTTCCAGACAGAAATAAACTCCATCAGCAGTCACTGTGTTTCCCCATCCCTACTGAAGCCCTAATTTCCTTTCAACACTTACTCTACAGGTAAATATTTCCCTCTGAACTTCTAAAGCCACTGCTTCAATATTCTCAGTTCACTTCACGTGTTTCCTCTTGCTTCTACTTAAAACCTTCTTTTGGCCCTTCGTTCTGCCTCCCAGGGTGAAGCTACCCCTTGTCCTATTAGCTGTATGTTCCAGGGTCTGGCCTTTTTCATTCCTCCCTGCTTCTCTCTCAACTACAAACAGAGGTAGCCTGAGCCAGGGTCCCAAGCCCCAGGAAGGTTCAGAACTGAGAGCACCCTGCAGATGTGTAAACATCTTACCTTGCTAACCAGGCTAGATGCTTTCCAAAGGCAACAGGAAAACCAAAGACTGGGAGCCCTTTGCAAAATAAAAACCTGCAGGCAGGAGAGTGAAAAAGAGAGAGGAAAAGAGATCCTGTTTCAAACATTAATTTTCTCATTAGAAGGCTTCATTTTCTTCTTTATGGGGAAAGGGGTTAGATGGAGGGGGGGAGAAGAACCAAAAGATGGAGCAAACACAGATAAGGTGCCTCCAACAGCTTCCATCCTTAGAATTTCTGTAGTAGGTACCCAAAGATACATCTGGAGTCACATCTTTGACTTTGGAGGCATTTAGTGGGGTGACAGCTTTTAATCTGTAGTCTCTTAATGTCATCGGTACTGACAAGGGGTTATGATTTCTAAGTAGCATTTGCAAGTGGGTTTGTGGATAGTTTCTACGTTTTCAAGTCTGCATCTTAATTCTTGATACATCAGGCAAGATCCCTTCAGGGAGCTCTCTTTCTCTGGCTTTTCTGCATTTGGTTTTCAGTCAGTTCTTACTTTTCATTCTTGAAATCACTCCTGGGCCCTCTAGCAATGTGCAAGTGAACTCCCACTTGGACAGTCATTGTACGCTGAGGAAGCTGAATCTGCCAGATCTTTCAAGTATGACAACATAGTTAAAGAGAGACACAGAGGAGGGAACTCAAGTTCCCTGAGGTGAAGTGATTCACCCCAGACATACTGCTAATAATTGTTCTTGTCAGGATTCGAAGCAGATTACACTAAGTTCCAAAATCCTGTTCTTTCTATCCTACCAATCATACATTCTATCTTCTCATTCTCTCTGTCCTTTAGTTGCAGACATGGGAATTAAAGCCTTTGTTTACCCTCAGTGTCTCAACCATTTCTCCATCTCCACTGTATGATCATTCCTGTGCACATTCATAACACACATGCTAAATTCAAGCTGTGAAAATCTACTGACCCAGTGACAGGGATGACAAAGGTGCCAGCCCCAACTCCATGGTACAGAGGAGATAAAGGCAAATACACAGACCTGCAAGTGAAACAGTTCCATAGGAGAGAGTGGTCAATACTCAGAAGCCTATCAGGGAGAGCTTCTTGCCAACAGTACCTTGAATGACACCACTGAGATTCTATAATTGAGAAAATCAGACTTGGACTGACAAGGTGATTCAATTCCTTGCTTCACCAAATGGATAACCAAGGAGTACTTGGTGCTTTGCTAAGGTCATCCAAACTGAGAGTGTAGGATGGCGTTTTAAGGAGACTCTGGCAATTACCTGGAAAACTCTTGGGCACAAAGTAAAAAGGAGGTTTAGGTAAGCCTAAGATGTTTGGCCAAAACTGTTTGCCACATCAGCTGTGAACAGAGAGATGCGCATAATTTCTGAAGTCCCAGTGCCCACAAATAAGTAAAGACTGTGTGAAACCCTTCTATTGATTTTTCTGGAAGTTCTCCATGCTCATTTAATGCAAATATTTCAAAAATTTTATGCCAAAATAAAAACTTCTCATAATTTAATTTTCAATAAAAGTTACAAGTTTGCTTGTTAGACATTCACGTTAGAGGAGAAACAAATTGATTTGAATCCCACAGTTTTTGTCAGTAGCTATGTAACATGACAAATACCTGCTATTCTCTGGGACTCACCTCTAAAGTGAATGGGTTGGAGTGATCTTTAAAAACGTCCCCATTTTGGCATTGAAGCATGTCTGCCATTCTTTAGGGATACATGTCAGAATCAGCCAAAGCCCCTTAAGACACAGATGGACTAACTTTTCAGACCTTGTCTTTCACTTTGCTAGGCCAAATTGTCTAGGCAATTCTGCATCATACACCATTTGATAACTGATCATGACAGATAGACATTCAGTGATGTATCAGCCCTTTACATGAACATCTTCCAATTCTGTCTTATCTCCTTCTATTTCTCCTATAACTCCCATTTTAGCCTACATTTCAAATATCTTCTTGTTTAGAAAGCTTTCTTCTTCATCCAAAAGCTTTATTAAAAATTATTTTCATATATTTGTTATTACTATCGCTGTTGTTATTGCATTATCTTTAAATAAAATGCTATTCCACAAAACATTTCTTGTGTATACCATATTCCAAACCGACAAAAAAAATCAATCTATTAGGGTTGAAGTGGTGATAAGAATGTTGCAAAGCCTATCAGATGATCCTGCCAATTCCTATAGCCTTCTCCTTACCTTTGGGGTGGTCCCAGAGGCACCATCGCTGGTAGTTTCTTGGATTGCACAGAAATGTTTAAAACCCCAAGCTCTAGGACATCTTGATATAAATTTTGTCAAAGAAGAGTAACCTAACCCCCTCTTTCTTGATCCTTTATTTACTCACCTTTTTCTTTTGGGGTCACATAGGGCTGTATGACAAATGTTCTTACACCTCGCGTGACCGAGGATGGGTCGTGGGCATTCACACCGTCAGTGATCAAGGAAACAGAGACCCACGCTATTTTTTCTCCTTGAAGACGGACCGGGCTCGAAAAGCAACCACCATCAATGCTCACCGCAGCTACTTCCCAGGACAGTGGGTATTCCTAGCTGCTACTTATAATGGGCGGCTGATGAAGCTCTATTTGAATGGTGCCCAGGTGGCAACCTCTGGGGAGCAGGTGGGTGGCATCTTCAGCCCCCTGACCCAAAAGTGCAAAGTGCTCATGTTGGGGGGCAGTACTCTGAACCACAACTATCGGGGCTACGTTGAACATTTCAGTCTGTGGAAAGTGGCCAGGACACAGAGGGAGATATTGTCAGACATGGAATCTCATGGCTTCCACACTCCTCTACCTCAGCTCCTCCTGCAGGAGAACTGGGAGAATGTGAAACGTGCCTGGTCTCCCATGAAAGAAGGCAACAGCCCCCATGTGGAACTCAGCAATGCCCACAGCTTCCTGCTGGACACAAGTTTGGAGCCCCCTCTGTGTGGGCAGACCCTATGTGACAATGCAGAAGTCATCGCCAACTACAACCAACTCCCACGTTTCCGCTTGCCCAAAGTGGTACGCTACCGTGTGGTCAACCTCTATGATGATGACTATGAGAATCCAACAGTGAGCCAGCAACAGGTAGACTTCCAACACCAGCAGCTGATTGAGGCCTTCAAGCAGTACAATATCTCCTGGGAGCTGAAGGTCCTCGAGGTGAGAAACTCCTCTCTACGCCACCGCCTCATCCTGGCCAACTGTGACATCAGCAAGATTGGTGATGAGAACTGTGACCCTGAGTGTAACCACACGCTGACAGGCCATGATGGTGGAGACTGCCGCCATTTGCGCCCCCCTGCCTTCATGAAGAAGCAACAGAATGGCGTGTGTGACATGGACTGCAATTATGAACATTTCAACTTTGATGGTGGAGAGTGCTGTGACCCTGAAATCACCGATGTCACTAAGACGTGCTTTGATCCTGATTCTCCACACAGGTAAGATCCTCTTTGACAAAAGATGCCCACTTAAAGATTGAACTGAATGTCTTACTTTATAGCTGAAGCACTGCAGTCCCATAGGGATTATGGAAATACTCTGGCTCATGCAGCAGCTTTGGAGCTGAGGTATCGCTCATTACAAAAATATCCAATGACTGCCTCCTATGGGCTGTGAAGGAAAACTCAGGAATCCTATTTTTCTGTCTTTTATGTAGTAGAGTAGGCCAAGGCAGCATTATCTAATACAATAGATCGTGACTGCATTGACTGCTCCCATTTAAATCTGTTAAGTTAAATAACATTTGAACTCCAATTCCTAAATTATAGTAAGTATGTATTTCAAGTACTCGGTAGCCATGTGGGGCTAATGACTATTCTACCATATAGAGAAATACAGGACATTTTCTTCATAGCAAAAAAAAAAAAAAAAAATCCTGTTGAGCCCTTCTGGTCAATGTGGAGTCAGCTGGTATAGGATACCCTGAGTTCAGACCTCAGATCCACTAACTCCTCATTCTATGATCTCTTAAAAGCTGTTTCTTCATCTGTAACATGGGAAGACTGAGGGTACCTGCTCTGTTGAGTTGTACTGGAGATTGCGAAAGGGCACACAAAGTGTACTTTCTTTTGCTGTGGCAGAACAAGCATGTAATTACAAAAGATAGTGTGTGGTGTTAGGGAGTGCCATAGCAGATCAGAGAGAAAAAGTTGAGTTGCAGCTTAAACACATCAGGAAGATTTCTTTGAGAGGTGGCATTTGAGCAAGCTCTTCAGAGACAGGTATAATTTGAGGTAGAACCTGGAGCATAATAGTGCAACTCTAAGAATTTAAGGGGCAGGAGATCCACAGATAATATCATTATTTTTGAGATTCATGCTAAATGAATGGGTTTTAGTTGCTGTTGTCATAAAAACAAAAAAAATGGTAATTATTTGAGATTATGGATATGTTTCATTGTAGTCATCTGTATGTCTGCTATAACATCTGATTCCATGCATTTCTTAAATATCCATAATCAAATCTTAAGACAGAAAAGATATAACATACACATTAGAGGTTGATTTGGAGAGATAGGAGAACCCTCAAATAATAGGAAACCTTTTCCCATGTACTGCTGAAAAAAGGTGAAAGGAAGGCCTTCCGTGTAATGGCTCACGTAGTCTCTGCTGTGGCTATCAGCTAGAACCAGTAATCCCAAAGTGTAACCTGAAGATGAACTTCAAGGATAAACTATATTTGATGTGGGACCTGGAGGAACCAGAGAGACAGTCAACATCCACTTTCCTGTTTTTCCCAGATTCACATTGAACTTTTCCATTCTGTCTACCCCAACAAGACCCTGAAGTTGCTGATGACTCGAGCACATTTGCCAACCTCTGCAGGTTTTCTGCTGACTCCTCTCTTTATGCCTCTCTCAAAAGAGCAAGTGCCTTCCTTGCACAGACAAAATATCTATGTGTAAGGGAATGACGATGCTGGCAGGAGACTGTCGTGCCTGGCAGCAAGTCAGAAAGCACGTCAGCTCAGCCTCCTGGCACCAGTAGGGGCCCTGTATTCACCTTGGCTACAAGACTTGAGCAGCCCATGTGAGAAAGGTCACAGCACAAAGTTACCTCTTCTTTCGTTTAGGCTTTGTCCAAGTTTGGCAAATCAAGCATGCTTCGACAGTGAAGTGACTTAGCCAAGTTCACTGGTCAGAAAAATCACTAGACTACATCACAAATACAAGAAAATTATCATCAGCATAATGTGTTCTCTGATGAGACAGCCCCTGGAGGAGATACCTATGACCCTGGGCAGAGCAGGCATAGAGGAAAACGAGCATAGCTGAGAGTCATTCATCCATTTGTAGATCCATTCATTTGCTCATTCACTCATTCATGCAACAAATGTTTATACAACACCTATCAAATGCTTTCAGCCCTATTTTGCTGAAGGGAATCCAGCATTCAGATAGGTAAAGGGTCTTGTCTGAATCACTCTACTAGCCAACAACTAACTTGGATTTGAACACAGACTTACTGACTCCAAAGCTGCCACTGAAGAGGGATATTTTTAAATCTGAAGAACAATGAAAGGCAGAATTAATGGATGGGGTGACACTCAAGGTACTTTTACCAAAGACTTAGGAGACTACTGATAAGTTTAACTGGATCAGGGCCAAGGGTAGCTAGGCTTTGTGACTTGGTGTGCTGTTGTACAGAGGCTGTGGGGCCCCAGGTTCCAGATACCTCACAAACATCAGACAATGCTGGCAGGCTCCAAAATCCTTTCCTCTTTTCTAAGTCACGAGACTGCATGCCCAGAAAGTTTGTGAGAGGCCACATGCCAACACTGTGACCATTCATGCCAGGGCTTGTTTATTGGTGAGCTGGGAAAACTGTGTGCCCAGAGTGAGCCCCCATCAGTCCATCTTATCTCCTGACAAAGCTAGGGGTTATTGGATTGTGGCAGAATCATCACTCCTGTGTGCTGACAGAAATCTGTGGAAGGTTGCAGAGAAATGCTTTGTGACTGAAAAAAGAGAAGTTGGGTTAAGGCAGGAGGAACAGAGGGAAGGAAGGAAGGAAGGAAGGAAGGAAGGAAGGAAGGAAGGAACGAACGAAGGAAGGAAGGAAGGAAGGAAGGGTAGATTTACATTAAAAAATAGGTTCACATTACCCAGCTTATTTTAAATAAAGAGCTAGGGTTTGTCCTTTTGCTTTATCATCTCTCTATCATCTATCTGTCTATCTATCTATCTATAGATATTTATATATAATTATATATAATTATGTATGTATATATAATGTGCATATACCTGTATATATATAATATATATGCTTTAAGCATAAAGACAATCTATAGCAAAGAACCACTTGAATTTTTTTTTCCTGTTCCTTTGAAACCGATATAGGTTTCAATAAAAATGAATAAAAATGAATTAATACTAAAATGAAATGCCTCAGCAATGGAGTAACAGATACAGAGTTCTGTAAAAGTTTTTGAATGTTGACTTTTCATTTCTGCACTCACTGTGCCATGGAAATAAGAAGCCATTGTGCACTGCCTACATTGAGTAGCATTGATTAAAATTCTTTATTCTAATCATTTCTGTAGCATTTCCTTTGTGTAAAAAAAAAAAAATCCACAGGCAGTTCAATTCAGCTGATTGACAGATGCCATCCAAGAAATTCATTTATTTTTTAGCACATCAAACCTTATACTTTTCGCCTGATAGTCCTTGGGCCTGTTGGCTCATATTGTCAGGGATGCATATGTTATAGGAAAGTTCTTGGTCCTGCTCCGTATTGCAGAAGACATCAAAACTGTGTAACCTGGCAGACAGGAACACATCCTCAGTGATTGTTGAACTCAACTTCCTTGTTTCCCCAGAGGAAAACTGAGGTCAAATTTCACTCAGCCCAAAGTGGTGAGGTTTTCCAGATTCCTAATCCTTGGTTATCCTACTGTGACTCAATTTCCCAGCCCTGCCCTGGCATTCCTGTCAGCCCTAGACTCTAGCTTCCCCACTTTCTCTCTTCATTGTCTAATTCCCAGCTCTTTAGAGAGCTTGTGATTGTTAAGTGCTGAGTAGGGGGAGTTTGGGAGATAATTGGATGGTGATCTTTGCTTTCCATAATCCACTTCACAGCTATCAGAGCTGTTCTGACAGTGGGTGTCGTTTTTAACAAGCACTGGTGAGGTCCGCTCATGGAGGATATTGAGGAGGCCATGCCATTGAGGGTAGGAGAACTACGTCAGGTAGCCTTTGAATATGCTTGACCTGGAAGAGAAGACTCTCACAGGGTCAGTACCACAGGGTCTTGATACATGCACTTCACATCTTCGAAAACCTGTATGTGGAACAAAGTACTGCTGAATAATTCTCTATGCTTTCCAAGCTATGGTTGGTTATAGCAAGCTATCAACCCCAGTAATAACAGAAAGTAGCTTTGAACTGAGCAACACATGCCACTTCCAGTCACTGGAATCCTTCTTGAGAGTGTTTCTTGTGGGTGAGAGAGCTCACCATCACTGAAGCTATGCAAGTCTGTGCAGGTGACTATGCAAGGAGAAGCAATACCTGTGGTTCAACACTGATGGTGTTATTCAAAATGAGCACTACGTATTACTTCACATGGTAATGTACAATAGCATGTAATTCTAATAAGCCACATGGTCCCCATTTCTCTTCTCTCTATTAGGCATTTATTGAGCACATGTACCCCTGACAAGCTGTCTGCTATTCACTGGAAATGTTTTGATCAGTTAGTCATATTCTGCACCACTGGGGACCTCCACCTCAGTGGGAATGTCATATACAAACATAAGAAATCCTGATTTGTGGACTTAGAAACACAGAGTGAAGCAAGTGACCTAAAAGTAGGGTTTATTCTGACTAGGGAAAACAAGTAAAATCACCTGAAAGAGATAAGACTTGTATCGGTCCCTAAGAATATGCTGCTTATTGAGTGGTAGACATGCAGACTATATCAGTCAGGGCCTTGCAGAAAACAGATGGCTAATTCAACAAAATGATGGGGAGAGGGGACTATTTTGAAGAAGATGTTATTTCCATAGTCTCAGGGAGAGTTTAGTACAACCAACAAAAACTACACACAGCACAGTACTCCAGCACAGTCAACCATGGGAAGCCCTTTCCACTCATGGCATCTAGGCACACAAGTAGGGCATATTTAAAGAGCCTGAAGATAATGGGTGTATAAGGAGAGTTTCCCTGCAGCAGCTGTGGCCCTCTGCAGAGGAAAACAGCCAGGTTACAGCTTCATGGCTAGAAGAGAACCAAAAGCGTGTGTTCTGTGTTGTCATTCTCTTCTGCCTCCCAGTTTCCCACCAGTGCCTCCCAGTATGTGCATCAAACCAAAGACCTAAGACAAAGAATATCAATGGTACAATATGTTAAAGTCATTCTTTTAAGGGTATAAAAGGCAGGATGAAGTGATCCGCATGAGTAAATAGGAGATTCCAGGGCACAGAGAAAGCAAGGCCATGC